TCATTAGAGCTCCAACAATAGAAATATAAAAGCTCAACACTGTTTCAGTGTTGAGGGAATAGATAGAAAATATTTTTTAAAAAAACCATCCAACTCATTGACCCTGAGATGTGACACAGACTTCAGGAGGCCCTGCTTCCTGCGCGCCTGGAGGAAGTAGGAGACATTCCTGCTGTCTCTGCAACTTTCAGCTGATTTTAAGTGACCATCATTGTTCCCAGCGATTGATTCAGCAGACAGACAAGAAACTAGAGCAATTATCTTCAGCTTAGTAAAAAGCCTGTAAAAAATGTGGGTGAAAGGTCAACATCAAAGTTCAGTTGGACCTGATTCTAGGTGAACAAGGCAGATTAAACAGTAGATAAACAGATTCCACATAAGGAAGTCAGAGAGTAGCAAACATTAAAGATTACAATGTAAAACTACGACTCAAATGAAGAAAACTTGGTACTGGAGTTTTTATAAATGTTATAATTTGGTATCCGTTTATGCTTCCTGACAGTTTTGGGTCCTGGTCATTTAAATTTAGTTCCTTTGAAATTCAGTTGATATACAGGTGAGTCTGTTCTAATTAACATTGTGAAAAAAGTTGAATATCTTTTTTCAGTCACTTCAGAAAGTGAAACTTGTACTTTATGTAGAATCATCACAAAGAGTGGAACATGTCAACCCTTTATTTCTTGTAATGTTGACCATTATAGCTTGCATATAAAAGTGAAAAGTGTCTCAAAAACAATTTTTAGAAACTCTTGGTGTCACACTCTAATCAGCTAATTGACTCAAAATAGCTGCAAAAGTTTCCTGAGCCTCCAAGTCGTCTTTCACTTTTGGTTAATAGGGCACAATCATGGAGGAAGACTGCTGATTGGAGAAGCTGGTTGGCCAAAGAGTGTTTTCTTCAAGCATAAATATGGAAAGTTGAGTGTAAGGAAAAAGTGTGGTAGAAAGAAGGTGTTTTTTCTCTGAAGTTCACCGTCAAAACAGACGTGTACCAGGAAACATCAGGGCACTTTATGTTTCCTTCTCCTGGCAAGATTTATGGCTGATATCGTTGTCTAGCAGGACTTGGGACCGGCCTACACTGTAAAAAGTACCAAAAGTTGGTTCAATGATCAGACTGGCCTGACATCAACCGCATAAACAAGCTATGGAGTTAATGTCAAGACGAAAATGAGAGACACCAGATCCAACGATCCATTTGACTAGAAAATCACTGTTAAAGCAACCTTGGCTTTTATTTCAGCCCAGCAGAACCACAAGCTGATCGCCTCCAAGCCACTGATGCAGTAATTTACCCAGAAGCCTAATCTTTTTAGTGTCTTCAAGAAACAAGAGTTTAAAAATGGAGCAGTTCAATCAGGAAGAAAGAGGAACTCTGCAGCTAAACAATGTGACTTTTTAAACACTTGGGAACTCAAAGGAAGAAAACTTGGTACTGGAGTTTTTATAAATGTTACAATTTGGTATCTGTTTATACTTCCTGACAGTTTTGGGTCCTGGTCATTTAAATTTAGTTCCTTTGAAATTTAGTTGGCGTACAGGTGAGTCTGTTCAAATTAACATTGTGAAAAAAGTTTAATATTTTTTTTCAATCACTTCAGAAAGTGAAACTCGTACTTTACGTAGAATCATCACAAAGAGTGAAACGACACTCTTTGAGTAAAAGAGACAAAGCGCTGATATAGGAGGAACTTATTTTATTTCTATAGATTTAAAAAAAAAAAACAATCGCAATTCGACCAAGACTTTTTACTTCTTAATGTTACTAATATGTTACACATAAAATGTTTTCCAGACTGCGGGAAACGCTTGGCGTAAGAGGTGCTGTATGAACATGAATCCATAACCAGGAGGAAGTTTAGCAAAATAAGAACCGACGCTGCAGCTTGTAACTAAAACAGTTTGATAAATGTATTTTTATCCTTTTCCGGGGGGAATTTTTTATTTTTTTTATTTTTTTTGTGGTCGACCCGTCTCCGCTCCGTCTTTCTCGCTTGCTGTAGATTTTATTTATACTATTTTAAAAAGTTGCGCAATTTCTTGGAAGAATGTTTATGCGATACCAAAGCAGAGGGCTACTTCAGCAGCCGCAAAGTTCCGAGGCGATGTTACGTAAGAAGAAAGTAAACAAATATGACAACAAACTAATGTCCCTGCTTTTTGCACATGAGCTCTTATTTTAAGTTGTAAACAAATCCCTGGTTCTGGTTGTCCTCACCGAGCTGCAGCAGCAGGTAATCCTGGCTGACGTGTCCACGGTGCTCGGAAAACCCTCAGAGGAGCGGAGAAAGCAGCGGTCCTCCGAAGGAACTGGGAACAAAACCCAGCGGTGGGGATCACCATGGTGTGCAGCTGCAGATAGCTCACCGCGCCCAGACGCACGAAACCTCCGAACCTTCCGCGGGCCGAGAGAGCTGGAGATCCTGCAGACTGAGCCGAGCCGCCCAGGAAACTTCTGCTGCGTTCAGGCTGCAAGCTGTTTCCAGATGCTTTGCTCGAACCTTGATCTCTCAGGTCGGCCTACACGCCTTGATTGATTTTTCATTTAATAGCCCTGACCAGCTGGGGGTGCTGCACAAGCGCTGCCAAGAAACAAGACAGGAGTAACCGACAAGCGATAAAGTGGATAAAATACATCCGGGTTAGGTTTTGGAGCAATATCCGCATGCGAAAAGGTTCTGGTGAGATAAAGATGTAAGTTTAGGGCTCACCGGCAAAACGTTATGTTTGGAGGAAGACTAGTGCTACAGAGAGTGAAAAATGGTGGGAGCAACAGCAGACATATTGAAACTCTTGATTGACAAATGCATGAAACTATGTGTAAACACAGGAGAATCATGGAATAAAAGCAACAACCCAATCCAACAATTGCTACCACTGAATACTTTAAATCAAAACATAGTCATGGGTTAGTGTGGTCTAGTCAAAGCCCTGATGTATATCCAACTATAAAGATATTTTACAGATGCTCTCCATCCAATCTGACTGAGCTTGAGTTGTTTTAGAAAGAAGAATGGAGATAAATTAGTTTGTGCACAGAGTGTAGAGACATAAAACTTGCAGCTGGAGCTGAAAGAACAAAGAGGTTCTAGAAAGTACTGCCTCAGGAAGGCTTATGAAAAATGTGTGAACTTTCAGACTTTTATTTGTAAGAACTTCCATAAGAAGAAGGACACGTTACCGCAACTTCACAGTGGTGCATTACTTTGTGCCTCCTGATAAAATACACTGAGGTTTGTTGTAACAAAATAAATGTGAAAAAACGCAAGAGGCTCACAGAAACAACTAGACATATGTTTTTGTCTGAAATCATAATATTCTACAACAAATAATGAGTAATAATTGGTAGACCTTACCTAAATGTACATATTCACATCATTTATTTTACACTGATGACAATCAGTGAACATCGCCTTGGGTGGTAAAGACAAGAAAACATCAAACATTTAAGCTTTTCTGTCAAATTATTTTAAAGCAGCACATCAAACAATAAACATAAAAAAACAATCATATTTCCCTTCCTAAAACAGTCACTGTTATGTGTTTATTAAATATGCAGCCTCAACCAACCTGTTATTTACAACAGAAGCTTTTTGGCAAAATACAAGATGAGAAGTGTTTATGAGTCATTTATGTTTTACAAGTTTTCTTCATAAAACAGCTCCTCCTTCAAACGGAAGTAGCATCCTTTTTTGTTCATGAGTTCCTGGTGGGTCCCCTCCTCCCGGATCGACCCGTCCTCCATGAAAATTATGTGGTCCGCTTTCTCAACAATGCTGAGCTGATGAGCCACAATCAGAACTGTCCGTCCGCGAGCCAGAACCTCTTTCAGAACCTGAGGAATGACACCATGAAGGGCCGAGCGTCACTGGATTAGTTCAGTTGTTAGAGCTTTAATGGGATTGGCTGACATTTAGCCAACGAGTCTGTTTGTGCCGCGCTGACATTACTGGCGATTGATTAGATTTAAACTGATGTTTCACAAGAAACGAGGCAATGTAAGTCTCAAACAATCGTTGAACTTGTAATGGTTAAACGCTTTTTTAGAAATAAATATTTTCAAATTAGATTTTTTTGGTAACACTTTATTTGAAGGGGTGTGCATAAGACTGACATGACACCATCATAAACATGACATAACACCTGTCATGAACACGAACGAGTCTTTATGAATGTCTATCACAGTTGTCATGAAGTGTCATTCGGTAAATAATGACACTTTTAATGCAAAGTTGCTCTAAAAGCTGCATTGAAAGTCCATTAAAAGTGCCAACTTTGCATGATTTTGTAAATAATGACAATTTAATGAAAAGTTGGCATTTTTAATATTAGTAAGGTATTACTAATATTAAGGTATCAGTAATCAGTAACTAATATCAAGGATTTAATAAGAGATTAGAAATTATAATCACTAGCTGCATTTCCACTGACTATAAAATTGAGCAAACTGAAATTACGAAAATGAATTAGCTTAATAGAAACACGGCAGTTTTAAAAATAAAAAAAACTCACATTTTTTGATAGTGTCTTTGCACTAGGATGAAGTGGTTTTTTTTTGTTTTTTTTTGTTTTTTGCTGAATCAAAATTAGTTTATTTCACAAAACTGCAATGGAAACACTTTTTTGAACCACACAAGTCATGTGATCAACAACCGGATATTACTACTGGCAGAAAAGACAAAAAAGACAACAGGAAGTGGTAGGAGGATTATGGCGCCGGCATGTTTTTAATGAATATATTCACATTAAATTTTAAATGTTTTTCCTATTTAATGAAAATATACAGCAATGGAAAACTGTGCTTTTTTTTTACTTTAGTGGAATATCAAAAATATTTTTGCTCACATTTGAAATGGAAAAGCATCTACAGTAAGGTATTTCAGGATTTCCTATTTTTAACTATTTTGTGATGAACATGCATCAATTCATTTTAACCTGGCTGAATTGAAGGTAAAACTAGGTCTTGTTAAAGATCAATTATGTTCAGCTGGTAAGTGTGTACAATTATTGGGTTCAAGCAAATACTTTTATTGACTAAATCTCATTCTTATCTTAGAAAAACAGCAAAAGGTCTGAAACACGATCAACTTCAGTCTTCTTTTTTCATACTTTTCCAGGCCTGGAAACTACTGAAATTAAATTCCAAATTTCTTGTGCCTGCATTTTAACCTTGTCCCAATGAGACGATCTGATCTGATCTCCAGAAGCATATGCATCATTCCAGGACTGTGTTTTGTACTCACCGCCTTCTCTGCATCTACATCCAGTTTGCTTGTGGCCTCGTCCAGGATGACGACCTGGGGATCTCGAACCAGAGCTCTGATGATGGCGAGGCTCTGCTTCTGTCCTTCTGACAGTTTGCCTCCACACTCTCCAATATCTGGACAAAGAAAAATATGTTAGCTGCTCCATAGGGGAAGCGTCCTTTAGTCTATATGATCAGTGCTTTGAGCGATTTACATTACAATCATAAACTTTATGAATCAATTTTAAATGTGGCATGATTGCCCATCTAAAGTAAAAGGCTAACTTCACCAACTGCTTGACCAACTTCAACCTCAATTAACGCTACAACAGTAGAAAAATGTTGGAAAAGTAGCTTAAGACTATCATGATTTCTAAGACACAATAAAAAGATGCAAACATTATCACAAAATCAGGTAAATGCAGCAGCTCTCTACCAGAGTCATAGCCATTCTCCATTTCAGAGATGAACTTGTGTACGTTGATCTTCTTTGCAACTTCTTCCACCTTCTCCAGAGGGCGCTCCTCTAGACCATACTCTATGTTGTACTTCAGAGAACCAGAAAACAGCACAGGATTCTGGGAAACCAGTGCTACCTATGAAAACAACAAACGGCGTCAGTGCATTTCTCACGAGTTGAGCTATTTGTCCCGTTCTGTCCTCTGATTCTGGAATTTTACCAAAGTCTCAGTCCAAACTGATGATACTTTTAGCATTGAGTATCCCTCTGTAAGCATTATGAGTTTTCTTCTTATGACTATAAAGAAAAGTAACTATATGAATCTACCGGTTTGTTTTCATAGAAAATCTCCTTTATATAAACAGTCATTTCTTTATAACCTCAAATATCAGACAATATCATGACTTTAGTGTGCATAAGAATTACATAGTTGCAGATTATTTATATACATTTGTATTCATGTTTATTGGCCGGGTCCAAGCTAAAAATGTAAGAAATCTGTTGGTCACATTGGGATCGTTTTCTGCTTGCTGGGCCCTAAATGTTAACAGGTCAGTCAATAAATCGGAAAGCCGATATTTTCCGATGAGTGAACACATAATTTCTAAGCTCTAAGAAGTTCAAGAAGCTATCTGAAAGGAAAAGTTATTTTCACTGAGAGATATCCTCTCTATATTAGGGAGCAGAAACTCTGGATCTGGAAATGCTGAAAATATTCTGGAAATGTCACATTAAAGGTAAAAACCACTATCCTCTAAGAATCCACATTGTTGTAGTAATGCTAACCAAGCTAAAGGTGCCTATCAATAATAAAATAAGCTTTAAAATCCCAGCTCTGTAATAATTTTCTTTGCTTTAAAATACTGATTATAAATATTAATTAACTGCGACTTTTCTCTCACATAATTGAGTGATTACGCCTCCAAACCTTCACATTTTACATAAAAAATTCAGACCCAGACTACCAGATCTCTCCAGCTTTTTCCAACGTCATTTTAGTAATTATGCTTTAAACAAAAAACCTCAAGTAACCTGAAAAATAAAAAATCTCAAACTCAAAGGAAGATAAGCTGGATGGATGGATGTTCAAACCATAGAAAAGGGAAAAAAAGTTTTGCAAATACAAATATTTTCCACACTCTGGTTTGATTAAAGTCTACAAGATGATGCCTCATCAATGCTTTGTGTCATTCAGGTTGACTTCATGTTAGAGTTTAAAAAATAAATGCTAAAGGTTACCAACTGTACCTTCTGATGGAAGTACTTCTTCTGGTAGTGGTGCAGCGGCTCCCCGTCCAGCAGGATCTGACCCTCCTGAGGCTCATACAGCCTCTTCAGGAGGCTGACGCAGGAACTCTTCCCACCACCGGAGGGACCCACCAGAGCCGTGATCTTCCCTGGGCGGATGTCCAACGACACCGACTGAGGAGGGAAAACGACAACAGTGAGGATCCGTTCTGCTTCTGGTGCTCAACGACGTTAAATCTGCAAGCTTCAGTAACGTAAATGTAAGATTTATTAGGACTTTTTAAACCAAGCAGAAGCCTGAGCTTGAGAAAGTTACCTTTAGAGCTGGTTTACCAGAGGGAGCAGAGGGATAACTGAAACTGATATTTTGGAAAACTATTCTCCCATCCAGCTTCTTAGGAGCCAAGTTTCCTCCCTCTTTGCTTTTCGGTGTCCTGTCCAGGTAACTCAGCACTTTGGAAATGACTCCCACTGTGGACATCGTCTCTCCGTAGCAATACATGATCTCCTGTGACAAGGAGAATTTCTTCATCAGTGAAATCCAGGATAATGGACTCACATCTCAAACATATGGTGCACGTTTCACGGAGCTCACCCGCAGATTGACTGACATCGGCTTCTGGTACAAGAAAAAGGACACCAGACTACCGAT